TGGTTTTTTATTTCTTGTATATTTTTTCCGTAATAAATGATAAGATATCAACTAGATATAAAAAAATCACAAAAATTGGGAAGCACTTACGTCTCACTGTGTTCGAATAATGTAGTTGTCAGTTCTTATGCATCATCAATTTTGGACGAATTCGTAGGAATCACTTCCAAATTCACTTCAAATTGATTAAATATAAGAACAGATTGACATTATTTGACTATTCCAAGGTTGGTAGAATCGATGATCTATAAATAATCATCAGTTCAACCAATCTTGGACTATTTGAGACGTTACGCCACCTCGCGCTGTTTTTGAAAACCGAATTAATAATAATGGCAGATAGTGCATCACAAGTGTGCAATCTTTTGAAAGACCCACGCACGTGTTACTTTTGTGGATCTCCTTTTATTTATTTATCATTTCATTCATTGTATATACTTGATTTGAAATTTCTAGGTATTGATCTTTTGTCTCTGTATCTTATGGATATCCTATGGACGTATTCAGGACGTTTGTTTCGGATATCTCAAGTACATCCGCAATCAGATATCTTATGGATATACATCTTATGTCCACGGATATCCCGCCTTGAATAGGACTTGAAATGGATATCCATAAGATATCCTGTGTTAACTGGGAAGCACATAAAAGGAAATGATGTCGCCTTTGCGAATATCCAAACGTGCCGCGATTCAAACTGATTTAAGTTAGTGGCAGAGCGTCAATACTTCCGAGAATATTTCGCCCCCTCCCCCTAAAGATGATATCCGATGAAACAATGTGAAACTCAACATGTGGATTAGCATTCTTGTAGTGTGAGCACCATATTAGTTTCAAACTGGTCCATCGGATATTATCTTTCGACGACGGCGAAATATTCACGGAAATATTGACTCTCTGCCACTTAGTTAAATTAGTTTTAATCGCGGCACGTTTGATATTTGCAAATAGGACATTTTTCTATTTCATTTGCTTTTTATTTCAACTCGTTTTCACATGACGGCAGTATGTCCAGAATAATAGCAGCAAATAAATCGCTGTGCCGTGGATTTGCCTGAGACTGAGGGGTGGCACAGGTTGGTTTCTGAGATCTACCATTCAACTGGTGTCGGATGGCAAAATTCTTATATCGTTATCAAATCGCGCAATCGAGTGCAAATTTCCGCACAGGAAAGTGAAATTTTTTCATTATCTTGCTCAGGATAGTGATTGGCACAGGTGCCGTTACCTTTGGGACATATATCATTTCGTTATCAGATGATGGCAAAAATCTGTAGCCGGCTCTCCTACTTTCATCTGCTTTCAAGGACTTCTGGTAGGGCCACTCAATCTGACAAGCTTTTTTATAAACATAAAATTTTTCAAAACAAATTAAGATATGAAAACGATTCAATATGCAATAGCTCCAGAATTGCACGTAGAATTGAAAATGCAATATTTCACAGGATGTTCCATTTGGAAAAACGAAGTTAATGACACTTGAAAAATCGATGACAACGTGCTATGTCTGTTGATGTATTCCTTAGTTCTGTATAAACCACTAAATAATCTGTTGAGGAAATCACTTTGTATGTGAAATTGTTGTAATGTAATAAAATATGTCGATTCAATAGGCTTATCATTTATATGAGTTTGTAAGGCGCATGCGCTCGTTGTTAGATCCAGATCGGGACTGGATATTGCGAAGGTCAAAAATAACAACGATTTGGTAATTGGTCCATTTAAAATTGACGGTATCTTGATATTCTGTCAACCATCAAACGCCACGGGCGTTCGTTATTGCACTCTTTTATTTCTGAGTTCAAAATAACTATACAATTTCTCTTCTAATTTCTTGTGCGAAGTTTGATTTCATAAAAGTGGCTTTTTTCTATCTTTTGTAACCGATAGTGAAATGTAAAACCTTTGAGAAAAGTTGAAAATATTAATTCAATTTTATGAAGTAATTGAATTACTCGTGCCACTGGAGGTGGTTTCTAGACGTAAACATCGATTTGTTATTTTTATTGTCATCTATTTGAGGAGGCCTATTGGTTATTGCCATATATTTTAGTATACGTATGGATAAGCCAATTTCCATTTAGAATATTAAATATTGGATTTTTTTGTTATGTCCTGAGTTTCATTCGTGAAATGCTGAACATTCACCATGATATTGCCTGATATATTTTTTTTTATTATTATATCTTCCCAATTTTCCATACATTTCTTTAAGTTCTACAGGGTGTATCGATATAACGCTGAAAAAAATCAAGGGGTGATATTCTAGCAAATAAAGTTCATATAAACATGTGTCCTAACTCACTTCGTTTTTGAGATACAGGATGTTGCAAGTTGGAGGTATTAATTGTTTTCATATCTAACCCCCCTGTATGGTGCCAAAAATCAATATGGTTGTTGGAGATTAAGAAAGCCCCAAAATTTCAAAATGATTGTAACTGGGGTTTTTGAGTAATCTCAATGGAAGTCTTGAAAACACCTACATTAAATTTGGAGTCAAATCGAATTCTTATTGTTTCCTCAAAATACAAAAATCACACAACCCAGGCAACCAGATGAATGACCAAGGTGACGTCAGTAGTTGACGTCGCATTGACGTGATAATGACGTGAATAAGTCACATCCCAATGACGTCATATTACTCACGTCGTATTGACGTCATTCACTCACCAAACTGTGACGTCTGACTGACGTCATAATGACGATTGAATTTGGCGATGATACGTAAAAAAAACCCTTTAACATGGTGTGATTAACACCACTAGCCTCTGATGACATTAGATAATATTGATTATGCATTATTGGGGGTCCCTCCTGTGTCATGTTGATTCAATCGCCTATTCAGCAGCGCCATCCTTCAGTACGCATCTCCATCAGAATGCAATCAGTTACTCGTATTTGTATCAAAAATTATGTAGTTTGTGTCGGCGAGATGTAAGCAAACAAAGAATAGTTTGATAGCAATGGAAAGGATGTTGGCGAATTTGGCTTCACTTTGTTGAATAATTTATATTGATGCATTCTTTGTCACCCAACAAAAATCTAAATAGTAGATTATTGAAAAATGTCCTAAATGACGAAGCTCACCAAATTGGTACGTCACACCGACGTGATTTTTAGACGTCATAGATACGTCACTGCGACGTCATAAGAGTAACGGTTTCAATATAGGTATACCTAAACGATCATTTTTATATAAACATAGCTTATTGGTTTCCGAGATAATATACAGTGTGTCAAAGTTTTTTTGGAAAAAAGTTTTTCTACTACTTTTCGGGTATATTAATAATTATAGAATAAAACTTGCATGTTAATTCGCTTTCATGAGTTATACTTCTGTTTCACATGATAACATACAGTGTCATTCATAAAGTCGGCATCATATGGGAAAAACTTTTATTAATGACTTATTTTGGAATTCGAGTTGGACGTTGAGTTTTGCTACATGTCAAAAGTGACATTTTTTCAAATTGATCGCTGATCGAAAGTAGGCTTATTTGTTCGAATATCGAAAAAGTTTACTTGAAGAAATTGTTTCTATTTAAATTCTACATATATGTGAGTCGGATTTTATCTTTCTATTACATTTTTTGTTTGCATCAAACATAACAGAATTTTGAAGCGGGGATTATCATTTTCTGAAGAAAATCATATTTTTGTCGATAATTAGTGATAATTAGTAATTGAAAGTAAGTAGCATGATGAAGCAACTGGTATGAAGTAGTTTTATCGAATTTAGAATTTTTTTTATATTACAGAAATTTCGAAAATTTTTAAAAAATATCGAAATCTAAAAAATGTAATAGAAATATGAAATCCGAGTCACATATGTGAAATTTGAATAGGAACAACTTTTTCAAGTATATTTTTTCTATATTCGAACAAATAAGCCTACTTTCAGCGATTAATTTGAAAAAATGTCACTTTTGACATGTAGCGAAAGTCACGTGACCCCGATTGAGTAGGCCATTTTTCATCTTGTTTGAAACAAAACTTAACGTCCAACTCGAATTTCAAAATAAGTCATTAATAAAAGTTTTTCCAATATGATGCCGACTTTATGATTGACACTGTATTAGTATCCAAGGTTCAGAGAAAGTGTGGAAAAAATAGACGTCGACAGGACGTCCCTGTAACGTCATGAAACTGACGTCTTCTTTTACTCCTCTGAGTGACGTTCACTCGACTTCGAAACGATGACGTGATTATCACGTCATAGAAAGTACGTCATGGTACGTTATAAATTGGTGTGTGACGTCTCTGACGAAAAATCACCAATAAGGGACGTCACAGTGACGTGGTCATTCGTCATCTGTCTGGTTGCCTAGGAAATGATGAAAAAAATTTTATTTATATAGTTCAATCTAATAAAAATATGACTCAGCAAAACCGGTGGCGTACAATGACATTCACCATGAATATCGATAAATTTACCCACTGTGACGCCACTGGAAATATTATTTCGAATCTAATTGCACCAGAAGAAGCTCCATATCACTATTAACAAACCACAGCGTTATATTAAAATTGATGAAAAGACAATTGAGTAATGAATAAAAAACGATCTTCCATGGAAATATTAATACCCTGTATGTCGAAAACGAAGCAAGTTATGACAATGAATCACCCCTTGAATTTTTTCGGTATCATTTCGATACACCCTGTATACGGTTCTCAACTTTATATTATAGCTTCTGAAGTGAAGATATATATGTTTTCGAAAAGTTGAGTGGCGCCTGACATTATTATCAATTTTCAAATTTCAAAATCAACAAATAGCTATAGTTACCTAGTTGATCTTTTATTTTTTCATCAGAAAACATTGATAGGTATCAATCCAAAAGAAAAGTAAAGGTTTTAAAATCAACAAATAGCTAGTTAGCAAGTTAATCTTTTATTTTTCCATTAGAAAACATGATAGGAATGATTCCAAAAGAAAAGTAAAGGTTACAAACTAACTACGAAATAGATCCCTCAACAATTATTTCATTTCATCAAACATGTTTGTGATACGACTAAGCGGTACAATCCTATTATCACTATTGAAATTGAATCATTCAAGAACTTCTGCTGAGCATATAATTAATTTCCTGTATCTTTTTCTAGGGCTTCTTCAACAATCGGATGCTTCCTTAGGTAAGATTCCACGTTCACGCAGCAGAGTATTAGGCCAATTGTTAGAGAAAGTCCGTCCTAATATACAAGAGAGGGAAAGAAGCAAATCTGCTGCTGCTGGACACACTGAAAAGCAACTTTTGACTGCCCAAATACCAGCAACCAAAAAATCTTTTCTCACTAGGTGAGTAGTTTTCTCTCTAATGAATCGATCAGTAAGCTAATGTTGATGTTCGACATATTATCTATTCTATAAATGTGATACTCTTCAAAAAATAATTTTGTCTACAAACACTATTGAAAGTTCGTCTTTTAACACCAGATGTCTTCATACAACATGTCATTTGAATGCACTATCAATAAAAGTATCAATTTTTCAAAACTAGTTAATAAAAAAAATATTTTGTTTCTTTTTAAGCACAAGGAAGACGAAACAACTTTCAATTTCCAAATGAGCTCAATTTTCAGTATTGACATTGATTTATATTTTACACTGTAAAAAAAACAGAAATATTAATTTCTTCCGCGATACCATATTGATAGTCATTGAAACTACTCTATCCTTCACCATCATTATACAGTGTGTCCCACTTACCATGCTCACCATGGGCATCTTTTTAACGGTGAGAGATACGAGGTCGGTTAAATGACACCAAATGTGGAGTTTTCAAGACCAACTATAATGTGAAAAAATATTCTGATAAAATCCATTCGTTTTTGTTTTATACGCAAAAAACAGATTTTGATCATTTTCATGTCTCCTCCGTAACTTCTTTATTTATGAAAATATTCAAATTGCAATTTCACATAATCATGGCAGTTTTTCTAAGTGATTTCGAAAAAAATATGAAATTTATACCAACTCTTCTAGAATTCGAGATATCAGCATCAACTTCAGTTCTTCAAATGTAGGTCGTAGCTCACTATGACTTAGTTACAGATAACTTTTTTTTCTCTTACAGATGATATGTCGCAGTAATAGTTTTGTGTTGATAACAACGGAGTTATCGTCATTTATACAAAAACAAAAAATTATTTGGAAGCCGCCATCTTGAATTTATAAATTTTAACAAGAAAATCATGATCTCCGACCACAAAAACCCCCACTTACCAATTTTGAATGGAATCGGACCAAATCTTGTCCGCCATCTTGGAGCAGCCAATTTTTTTAACTTCAACAAAAATTCCATAATGTATTGTCACCGAAATTATGAACACCTGCCGAATTTCAAGTTAATCGGAGTTATGGAATTTTTGTTGAAATTAAAAAAATGGCTGCTCCAAGATGGCGGACAAGATTTGGTCCGATTCCATTCAAAATTGGTAATTGGGGATTTTCGAAGTCGAGAGTTCGAGATCATGATTTTTTTGTTAAAATTCATAAATTCAGGATGGCGGCTTCCAAATAATTATTTGTTTTTGCATAAATGACGATAACTCCGTTGTTATCAACACAAAACTATTACTGCGACATATAATCTGTAAGAAAAAAAAAGTTATTTGTAACTAAGTCATAGTGAGCTACGACCTACATTTGAAAAACTAAAGTTGGTGCTGATATCTCATATTCTAGAAGAGTTGGTATAATTTTCGTATTTTTTTTCGTAATCACTTTGAAAATCTGCCATGAGGATGTGAAATTCCTATTTGAATATTTTCATAAATAAAGAAGTAACGGAGGAGACATGAAAATGATCAAAATCTGTCTTTTGCGTATAAAACAAAAACGAATAGATTTTATCGAAATATTTTTTCACATTATAGTTGGCCTTGACAAACTCCACATTTGGTGTCATTTAACCGACCTCGTATCTCTCACCGTTAAAAAGATACCCATCATGGTGAGCATGGTAAGTGGGACACACTGTACACTAACAAATCAATTTTATATAAAAAGAGACACCTTTTCATCAGTTGAAATCAAAATTGAAACGATGAAAATTTCATTTATAATTAATGGAAGATTGAAATCTGATTTCATTTCAATAAGAAATTATGAAATGCATGATCACCAAACTTCTTAGATGACATATTCCACCTTTGTTTGATTTCATAGAAAGTGAAAATTTCAACATTGTACGTAACGATCAACTGGACCACAACAACTTCACCGCTTTTGAATACGTTTTTTCAGAGCGTAATATTTGCTTAATTTGTCAACCCTAGTTTCATGAGTATATAAAAGTTGACTCAAGGCTAGTCAATGGAATGTTAATTTATTGTACAAGTATTCCACTTGGAGAAGCTACTGTGATAGCGATACGTGTCTTCCTATCACGAATTTTGTTGAAATCTTATCGTTTGGGAGGTTTTCTACATTCACTATAGATTTCTATCATGTAACGGTCGAGTTATTAACTCTCCAAGTTGTCTCCACAAGGTTTTATCTCAAAATCATTAAGAGGAAAACATGTTCCGGACCCTAAAGGTGTTCATCATCAGCTGAAAGAAAGTATTCTACAAAGAATCAGGAAAACAGTACGGATATTCAGTTATATAAAATGGTACTCACGTATAGAAGAACATAGTTATTAACGTTACTAGGCCGATATGTAGCAGAACAACCGAATTCGTATTGGCCGTGTGTCGTTGAAGACTTCGTAATCCCGCTGAAAGATTAAACTTTTCAATTCTCATCTGAATACCGTTAAATCAAAATGGGACTATGAATACAAATACATGGTTCTGAATTCTAAAAATTGTAGTCATCAAATTAAGTTGGTTAAACAGGTATTCTAGAAGAAGAACCCACAACCGACAACAAACCTTTTTGATATGATTTTACTATATCCTAACTACTTTACTCTACCTTGAGACAATATGGACTTCTACAGTAGATAGATATTATCGAAACACGTTATTTATTTTAGCCAGCAAATGAACATCGATAAATTAGAAGCTCAAATCAAAGAAAAGCTGCATGATATAATTAACAGAAGGCAAAGCCAGACAGCAACTAAATCAGATACAGAAACTGACAGAAAAATGAGCAAAGATGATAGAAAATTGAGTAAAACTGATTTGGAATCTATAGGTGAGTCCACATACCACCTCATACCATCAACTGACTCTTTTTCTACTTTTATTATTGTGTATACTCATTATACTTCTAGCTCTTCGAATGCAACATTTTTATGTGTTCATATTCTTTCAGGAAAATTAAGTGCGAAGCAAAGAATTATGTACAAGAAGATCGGTAAAAGTTGCGATAAAATTAATGCCTGCAGTAAATCGGACTCTGAGTCACGGAAGACAAAATCGGAATCAGAATATCAAAGAATCTCCGATGCTACAAGTCAGAATATAAAATCATTAGCCCATGAAACTAGATCCAGTCCTTGCAGTCCGAAATTCAAAGGAAAAGCAAAGTTGCATGTTAAACAACAAAAAAAGAAGGTACATCAATTGGTTTTGATTTAATCAATCATAAGGTTGAAACTAGCAGCATTCTCAACCTCAAAGATATTTTGAAATGATCTCTCCATAATCCGGGGGACAACGAAATCATCGGCCAATTGAGTATCACTTCCAGATTCAACGATAGTAGTCAATAATTTTACATGAGCTCCTGTAGATATTTTTCGAAAGAGTGAAAAAAATCCTTTTCAATGACTTGAGATCTGCACGAAGATATATATGAACCACTTTGCGTATTTTTTGATGAACCATGCGAAAATTATGATTCTTCGCCAATCATGATTCCTTTTATAGTGATTCTTTAAAATGAAATTTTTCCTCTTGAATTATCTCAAAAATTCTGATTAGGAAATTGTACTTTTTCAAATTAATATTGAAGTCAGTAGTTTACACCGGCTGCTTCTTTAAGTCAATTGAAATCTCTGACATCTCAGTTGATAAATATAATTCAATGTTCGTCGTGGCATATAGCCAGGAAAGTAGTTGATTTCTATTGAATATACCAAGAAAGAATTGATATTTCCATCACATAAAGAATGTCAATTCTCAATGTATTTCCATATGAATATATCCATTTTTTCATGTTCATAATATATCTGAGACTATTCCACTCTTGATCTCGAGAACCAATCAGAATCGACCATTTTCACGGTTTCTTCTGTATTCTAGTGATATTTTTTGTTTATTAAATTTTATCGGACTTGCTCTACCAATACAGAAGCCGAATTGACCCACACGTGACCAACAAACCTCGTTTATCAGCGATAAAATTTTGACATCGTGTCTGGTCAAGATTGCTTTGGATTCAAATCTGAGACAATAACCTAAGTTCCTACTTTATTTTATTTACTTATAATTCGCGTTAGTGAGATATTTTGTACGAAAGGCGAGACAATTTTATTCTGGCTGGACGTTTCATGTGTAATTTAAAAAGTTTGCATATTTGTTGACGGTCTGACACAACAATAATAGAATTCAAATTCATTTTTAAAGTAATCTTCTTCAATTACTCAACTTATTGTGACTGACTGATATAATTACTAGCTGATGTAGCGCAACTGTTAGGGTTGTTGCGCGAGGATACGAAGGTCGATGGTTCAAGCCCTCGGCGACAGATATTTTTTTTATTTAATTATCCCATGTCACATATATTCAATTTATTTTGTTTGAATTGGATATCAATTGTATACACTCTTTTGAGAGGAACCATCTCCAAGATAATAAAAAAATACTGTTTATCAAAATTGTACATTCCACTTTGTGAATAACTATAAGTAGGTAGTTAATTTCTAAAAAAGTAAATTCTGTATTTCATTACTATCATTATGTTCTTCTTCGCAGTTCGAGTTGGAATATACTTCAATTATGTTTCCTATTTCTTATATACAGGGTGTCCGCTAAAAGGAGGTCAATCCATTAACCATATATTCCTTGAACAAAAATAATATGAGTTTCTAAATACCATTTTTCATTTTAGCCCTTCTTATTCGATATACAGGGTGTCAAAGTTGAAAATTAAAAACTGTTTTTTTCTAATTACTCGCGTAATTAATAAGATATTAATCTCAAAATAGGTACATTACTTCAGCACAAAGAGTTACATCGTGTGAGGAAAACAAAACAGAAAATAACTGTCAAATATTCAAAATACTGCGGGTCAAGTACACACTTACCACCATATTGTTTTTGTACGTGCGCTAATGACTTCCTATCTATTTTTCTTCATGTGTTCAATCATTTTTGAGTATTTTTTGATTTTTGTAAAATTCCGATAAAATTATTTGTTTTTAAGATAATTCGAAAAGTACTGGTTATTGTTTGATGCCTTGCGGCTTACGGTAATCTCATAATGTTCACATACTCCTATTTATTTCGTCGAAATTGGAAGAGGGCGTATCTTATTACGTACGGAAAGGTGAATATGGAAATACCGGGTGCTCAGAGCGAATGTATTAAAATAATTTTTACACTTTTTAAATTTTTTTTTGTAAAAATTATTTTAGTACATTTGCTCCGAGCACCCGGTATTTCCATATTTACCTTTTCGTACGTAAAAATATACGCCCTCTTTCAATTTCGACGAAATAAATAGGAGTATGTGAACATTATGAGATTACCTAAGCCGCATAGGCATCAAACAATAACCAGTACTTTTCGAATTATCTTAAAAACAAATGATTCAATCGAAATTTTACAGGAAACAAAAAATACTCAAAAATGATTGAACACTTGAAGGAAAATAGATAGGAAGTCATTAGCGCACGTACAAACAAAATATGTGGGTAAGTGTGAACTTGACCCCCAGTATCTTGAATATTTGACAGTTATTTTCTGTTTTGTTTTCCTCACACGATGTAACTCTTTGTGCTGAAGTAATGTACCAATTTTGAGATTAATATCTTATCAAATACGCGAGTAATTAGAAAAAACAGTTTTTAATTTCCAACTTTGACACCCTGTATACCGAATATGAAGGGCTAAAATGAAAAATGATATTTAGAAACTCATATTGTTTTTGTTCAAGGAATATGTGGTTAATGGATTGACCTCCTTTACATCGATATACATCGATTGACATACTCCAGCTTGCTGCTCTAATTTCGCTCATGACATTGATCCAAAACTACTCGCCTAGGGCTCGTAGTTTTGATAACAATGTCATTCACGAAATTACTAGGCAACAAGCTGTCGTAACAATCACCGAATATTTCCGGAAAAATATTATCACTTGTGGTATTATATATGAATATTCCTTTTCAATACTTTCATACCCAATCAAGGGGTTCAAACTTGAACGATGGAAACTTCTAATCGCAGGTTCGTGATTGGGTTTACTCAATTCAGAATTCCTTTCCACGTACTGTATGAAGAATATCAATTTGGCATACATCTGAAAACAAAAGCTTATTTGCATTTCAAAAACGTATCAAGCAACGAGCGAGAACAAGTCACCGGGTGGAAATACTTTTCAAATGGTATAACACTCTACTTTTTGTTCCCATCAAATATATCTTGAAGACTATAATATAGTCTTCCGAAAAATCGGAAAACTATGGTAGGTGAGAAATTCCCCCTTTTTTCAGAGCGGATAAAAAATATTGAAGGTGGATAATATAGAATATATAGTGACAAGTTACTTCAGCCTCATGAGCGACATTCAACTGTAACTTGAATAGCCTAGGTACTACATTATCATCCTTTTATAGGTGTATCCTTATAGTGACGGAGAAGACAATGTATTTTACTCGATGCACGATTCGGCTGATTCCCTCAGTACTTCCAGTAGGCGTTCCAGTTTCGAAGGGCCCGACAAGACTCTTGTAGTTTTCATCAACAGCAGGAACAAGAACATGACTATGGCCCAGAAGCAGAGGAGCTGGGAGACCTTTCCTCCGAAGCGTCGACACCACATCTGCCATCAGAAATTATCTGCGCCAACGCCGATGGCACCTTTACGCAAGGCTGATAGTTTCGAAGGTAGGTGACTTTCAAAACCAATCGGTTTTCTGCCTTGATTTTCTCAAAGAAGATAGATAAAAAGGCTTATATTTCCAACAGGTTTCATACCCAATAACAGAGAATGCTACAAATAAATATCAGTTTCCGATTATTAATTTCACTTTTGACAGAATAATATGAATAACATGAGCCAAAGACAAGGATTAGATAGATTAAATTATATCTAAGAAATGCAGGATACTAACCATAACAGAAGGAAGACCAAAACAAAATGTACAACTATTACTAGGGCATATAATATGACAATTTATTAATCACGTCTCTCAGTGAGTCATGATTAATATCACATATAGGAGACATTTTGTTGAAGTTATCACACATAAATTGGAGATTCCAGCATAATTCTTGTTGTAGTAGCAACAGTTGTAGATTTAGAACATGTTTGATTGTCTACTATTTAATCTTGGAATGAGAAAGTCCATTTGATTAAGAAGTACAGAGCAATCGATTTGGTTATGCAGTTTGAATGATATTGGGTGGTCAGATACCATATGAGTATACCACATTCAAGTTAAGATCATATATACGAGTAGAGAAGAAGTTCAAGTGCAAAGATATTTTCGAAATCTCTACAGTTGCGGTAAATGGAACCAAACATCTTCGAGCCTGCAGATATTACAGTGTCGATATGATTGTTTGGTGTTTGGTTCATCGACGAATATCTGGAAGGAGGTGGTAGATAATGTGATTTTGAACATATTTAACCAGTTAAACTACTATAGAAAGTTACACTTCTCGAGAAATCATCACTTATAAATCGTTTTTTCAAATTCTAACGCGCCAACAATTTTTTTATCACATTAAGATCCCCTTACGTGTTCAATTTCAATATCGATGTGATACGTATTCAACTCTGTAAGAAAGAAATATATAATCCGCAAGGATCAATTCTAGCACCAACACTATTTCTACTCCATATCAACGATTTGTTGGAAGCAACTTCATGTCCAGTACACAGCTTCGCGGTACCCTCCATACCGCCTTCTCATCCATGGCTCCAATACCAGCCAAGCAAATCAGAAACGAACGAGGGAGTAATGTTGACAACATGAAAATATGGACTTGGCAGCAATAATTCTCGAATGGGGATCCAATAACTTGGTAGATTTCCATGCAAACAAAACACAAGCATGACTTTTCTCTAGAAAAGCCGATGGGGCGCCCATATCTAAAATAATTATCATTGTAAACAGTATGTTAACCTATTTTATTTTTTCAATCCAAAACCGTTGGTCTAACGAAAAAAAGTTGTGAGGTTTTTCTTGTTAGCAACTAATAAGAGATTACAAAACTGATTTTTATTTTGATAAAAAACAGTGGCGTGCCATTTTTAAATGTAATAAAATTATATTTTGGTCAATATCAACGGTTCAAAAAAAGGTAGATGATAAATTATTCTCATCAAATTATCGAAAAATTCATCCTCTTTCAAAGCATATAAAAATTAATATACCATCACATTTGTTTTTTTTTTAATAAACCCAAAAATTTGCTAACATTTCAGTTAACGCCATCTAGCGGCGACAGCAAGAGTCAAAAATTCAAAACCAAAAAAGCGTTTTGTAGGGCAAATTATGCTCTTTCATATGAGCCTAAGTTTGCTAAAATCGGTCGAAATAAACGGGAGGAATCTTGGTTTGTTTAAAAAAACAATTGAATTTCTCCCACCGCTTTATTTTGATAGATAGAACAAAACGTTTCAGACAAAAAATGTAGGGAAATGGTCAGTAAATATGAAAATGATATCATCGATATACTTTCATTAGACAAAATTCTATTAAAATCCCATTTTTCTACTTGGTGTTGGTTGTTACGCCCTCTACCGGACGTTTGACAAACTCGGGAATAATTTCCAGCAAGTTCTCTTGTACATGAAAGCGTCAAATCTATAGCCTTATCACCCTGAACATGGTTGGACGTTGTCGTTCCTACACATCTTTATTTTCAGGTCATGAGGAGGCAGTGAAAAGTCTTGTAGCAGCTGTTCAGGAAACAAGAAGAAAACCACGAGGAGGGGCTTAGACTCCAGTGTTTTTTCAAATTAAGGATTGATGTTGATGTATAAAAAGTTGATATGGTATTGTAACATTTTGGAATCAAATCTATATAACCTGAAGTTGATAGAAATATTTCAACTTGTAAGGTGGACAGTATGAAGTCTAAGATGTTCATGCTCTGAGAGATTATACGTAAAGCGTAACATATCATTGATATTGAGTACCATCATTATTTCCTATTAATTGTTTGGTGGTGCATTCATGAGATATGATTTACGATTTACGTGTAAGTGTGATTGATGAATGATGATTGATAGTGGTGACTCGAATGTCATTGAATAAAATAATCTCACTGTTTCTTTGAAGTTTTTTTTTTTATCGCTTGGAGCGCGCGAAAGGGAATCCCTATAATGTTCAAAGAACATCGTGCGTTCCTTGGGAGGATAGGAACAGGAGGTAGGTATTGGAATTTTTTTTGAACTTTTGGAGATTATATGTTGTGGAAAGAAACTATTTACCTCAACAATCTAACCTAAATGTTACATAAAAAGGCAAATAGTATATCCTACGCCTAGAGTGAGAAGTGATATAAAATTTTGTACCCATCAGCGCCTGCATGAAGTCAGGAATTGTTTAGTAATCAGTCTACCGATAAATGTCTCAAGTAGATATTGAAAATTCAGTATGCAATGTTTTGCAATATTTAAACCTCCTCAATATCGCAGATTGAACAATCATTGAGCTGATCTACATAATAAATCATTTCGTATTGACGGCCATAGCTCAAATCGTTGCGATTGGTCAAAAAATGTGTCCATACCGAAAGTCATGATTATTTGAATTGCTCTAATTCACACATGACAGTGACTGCTTACATATGATTTGTGATGTGAGTTGTGACTTTTTCAGGACTAATGCTAATCACATTATTCCAAACATTTTTCATAACTAGAAAAATTGGTTTCAGAAGTGAAACATTTCGTAGTTTCAGCTATATTTGGTTCAAAGAATGTTTCATTTGTCAATGGTTGCATACGTACGCATCGGTATCTACACAGATTAACAATCTATAGGTGTATATTGAAAAGGTATCATTGACACACATTGACGTTATAACGATTTGAGAAAGGGCATGTAAAAAAGTTTCATAGAGGTTAGTAGGTACATACATACAATATGGCTATGAGTCAGGTACTGAACAATTGCTAAAAGTAAAGAGGGAAATTTCAGAAGGGAAACATTAGAACTTGAGTTTATTAATGTTATCTTCGAAAGTAAAGTCGACATTTGATATTTTATGAAAATATCTATTTCCTGTCGACTGAGCACCTATTATTCATCTCAACTGATTCAACTTGTCATACATCATTGTTTTCAGAAAAAAACTCGAACCGAAAAAAACAAAAACTAATGATACGCACAAATAAAATCCACTGTCTTCATGTATCCTAAAAATGATTTTAATGAAACTCTTGAGTCTTCGCTACATTTATGCTTAGAGAGTGAATGAGGGTATTCGTTTTGATTGAAGATCTCACGACGTGTCCACCTTACGAATGTCCTGCGAATTGATTATTTATGTGCACTGTTGTAATTGTAAGGTTAGTGTGAATTATTATTAATTTCGTTGAAGAATCGGTTTTATCTCTGTCACAATATTGTAAAGGCCTTATTGTAACACTGTAGAGGTAATAGGTCTAGAAAGAGGTCTCTTTTCGTGATTCTGAATAAAGATCTGTGAAGGAATACTTATTATGTTGAAATATCTGAGAGAAAAAGGTTTTCTTTTTCTATTTTACAGTTTATACGAAGCAGGTAGTTTCAAATTAAGCCCTACCATATTTTATCGTGCGCATGTGCAAATGCCAAGTTAACAATTTGACGTAAAAATAGTAGCAGTAATATACTACTATGGATGACATAGTCAATTGTTCTATCATGCAATAATCTAATATGGTCGCTGTATCTGTATCGTAACAGTTTGGTTCGGCTCGCTAAAGAAGACCGCTTTTTCGGTCTGCATGGAACAACTCTGGAGCTAGCTAATTCCCGTTTTGCAATAATTTCATTCCAAAAGGTGAAAAACTGACTGATAACACTTTCAATAGTTTCTGACCTGCGCATAAAATGTCGAAGTTTTGGAAGTTTTTAGATAGACGTCACCAAACTTCATTCCGAAATCGAACTATACTCCTGTATAGCGGAGTTAAAGTGAGAGATACAATTATCATATTTAGTTTTTGCGCTATATATTTTCCAGACGAGGCATTTTCTGAATTCTTTCACAAAATTTTAATATTGAGTTTCAAAAAACTAAAATGGATACTATTTTCTAAAACAGCCGACTCTACTCACATGCGAAAAGATAATATTTGGTGAAATTCGAGGTCTCATAATGTGTTTATTTCTAGCTCAATTTTAGTAAACTAAGTGAAATAGTAGCTTTGGAAATACAATTGAAAATAACCCAATGAAAGTCATGTTTCATAGATTATTCGGGGTAACTTTTGACTTAATTTATTCCCTTGGCGTAATAGGTACCCGGTATAAATTGAACTTACTTTATGATGTGGTTTTGTCATATTATTCGATACATTTTGCCAAGCATTCCAGAAAATATAGGCAGGAACGCTTTTCATCTTAGATTCCTATTTTCGCACAGTTCAACGGTAGGAATATTTATTTAACCTTCATTTTATAGTAAAATTTTGGGTTTAATTGAAAGCGAGTTGCCTAATTATGAGATGAACTATTTAAACTCGAAAAATATCAACAACATTCAAGTCGGGCTTGAAATTTTGCTACTTTCTAGTAGACTGTTGATCACTCGCAGAGCGTATAAGAATTTGTTCTTGCTAGTATCTATATCTCTAAAATATTATTTGAAAATTTCTAAATTCTTTTTACTATTAGAAACTCATATATGCACTGTTAATAGATATAAAATATGATCACGATGACGATTCAAGTAGATAGGTAGCCTGAGTAAGAATAATTGAAATTTCTATATTGTTGTTGAATAAATGAATTATTGTTTCTGATGAGAATCGTAGTTTTAATCATGCAGTTCACGTTCGCTACAGGGATATTCGAATCTTTGTCACTGGCTGTCAGCTATCGTGGAGTTGATAACATCTTGTCTAGATAACTAAAAAACATGATGTTATTAACACTCCAGAGATAACCACGTTTCATTGATTACGGATATTTTTATAATTATTATTATTAATAATTATTCAGGGTGAGAATAAATAAATATGAGAAAAACTAGGAGGTGATTCCTCATTGTCATATGTTACACTGAGGGAAATTGTGCTATCACTACTGCAGGTGAGTAATATGCCTGTGGCTGCAAGGTTTATCACATAAAACTACACTCACCACCAATAATGCAACTGTCAGCCTGCCAGGAATATAATTGGCGAACCTACTTGGGGTTATTCAGCTCATACTTATCGTTATTCGATATTTTGCTGATTTTTCCTTCCTCCATGAGCAATTGTCAGACATATTGACTGCCAAAGACAAGCTCAATCACCTCCAGTTGGGCAAACCCATGCACAGGACGACAATCTCGACGACACAACAGAATCTGAATCTGAATTAAAATATAGAATGAAAACAGTTTTGAACAAATGAAAAAATCTTCAGTGTCCCTTCCAGTGCTTTCGTAGATCTGAGTGCATTAGTTATTATACCAGGATTGATGTAATGCTAAAAGTGAGTTTATTCAAGGTATTTTGACTGAAATAATATTTTACATTCAACATTTCCTCCTTCTTGGTCCAATGAAACTTTAAAATTGTCAAATTGGGTGAGTGAATGAATGTTCTTTAGGAATCAATGAATTGCTATTTATACCAAACACCAGGGTGGAAACAATAGGAAGTGAAATCGGATTTCAGTAAAAGTTTTACCTTTTTTCATGACAACAATCCTCGAAAACTACAGCAAGAAGGACAACTATCTATATGATCACCCACCAAGATTAGCAAAGTTCTCTACCTATGATGATAAAATTGCCCTACCCCTATTATTATATGCACTCGCGCTGGGTAATAATCTAATAATCGCCGAGGTGGGTTATAATCAGCAAAGCGACTTTATAATCACAGGTGATAACTTGCTTATCCCCGCCTATTCTATTAGAGTTTTTTGCTGGGATAATTCGATTTCTAACTATGGTTAATAGCAATTTTTTAGGTGGATTAGTGTATTGAACAACATAACAAGACAAGACTGAGCAAGATACAAAGACTTGCATGTCTAGGAATCACGGGGGCTACGAAGTCAACGCCAACCGCATCAGCCATGGAAACATACTGGATCTGCCTCCCCTCCACTTGATGGTACAGGGAGAGGCGAGACTTGGTGCCCTAAGACTGCAAAATACACTGGGCAATGTTGACATAGGAACAGGACATATGAACATCGTCAGAATAGTGAACAGGGACATACTTAATATGAAAACAGATCACATTTCGAAACGATATATATTTGACACTTCATTCAGAGTGTCCATACCAGGCAGATCTGAATGGAATCACGGAGAAATCAGCACCATACTGCAGAGAAAGATCTGGTATATAGACGCGGGTCCAAGACGGGTCCATGCGAATGGGTCAGGAGCAGGAGTATACTCCAAACATCCGGAAACTAGCCTCAGCTACTCATTGGGGAAGTATCCCAGCGAGCACAAACATCCCTGGGATGTTTTGGGATGTTTTGAAAATGTTGGCATGAAGATGTTATTTTGAGACGTAATATGCACTGACCAAAGAGGTCTTTGAAGGATATAGAAGTATTGTTTTTGTTCTTCTGTGGCATTTCTTTGTTTGCCTACTGAGAGGTATCCCTGGGATGTTTTGGGATGTTTTAGAAATGTAGGCATGAGGATGTTTTTTTGAGGCGTGATATGCACTTCCCAAAGCAGAGGTCTTAGAAGGATATTGAAAGTATTGTTTTTGTTCTTTTGTGCCCTTTCTTTGTTTGCCCCACCACAACGTCTCATGCTTACGTCACAATACGATGAATTCTGATTTGTTTTCGATTTTGTTCTTCTTCTTCGCAATTGGCATTCGCGTTTGCAGCGTGTCACGCTTACATCACGCTGCTAACGAACAGAAAGGAATTTGGTGAAGTTTATTCCCAGATAGCACACACTCGCCTAAGGTCATCCTCAATGTGTCGCCAAACGCCTGGAGAGGACGTTCTATTTTCTACAACCTAAGAACATCATCAGGCGCAAATTTAGCGCTGTAATTGTCCTAAATGAGTTCTTTCAGTGAC